AGGAACTTCTGGTATGAGGTGAACTTCGAATACTTCTCTCTCACGAACGGCCGAAGAATATCATAACTTGAACGCATGCCAGCTGGAAGCCCTCTCTTGGCAGCCAAGTCAAGCTCCAACTGTCTCTGTAATGACTCAGTCAGCCGCTTCTCCAGCATGCCTGGTGTAAATTGTTGCAATGGCACTTCAACTCCACGATGGTCAAGCCAGACATCCCACTGCTTGATTGTCCAACCAACCCTGCGACGACAAAGAGCAGCTCGCTCAAGGGGCCCTCGCGAAGACGCCCACGCTAGATTCTCAAGCGGGCGGTCCTGCAGGGCTTGTGTCCACCGCGTTCGGAGCTGCTCCAAAGAAACTAATGCCGTCTCTGGTGCCAGAACTGCTTGCCATATCATTCTTGACCACTGCAGTGCTGGGGCAAGTGCTTGGCGTGCTGAAGGATCATCAAAGAGTACAGCCTTTGCACTTGCCGAAATCCCACCATGGCATGGTTTCACGAACTGAAAGAACTGTCTACGTAATGCACTCCATTCAGAATCTGACAGGCCTGTGATCTCCACACCGAACGTCAGGGCTGGTCGCGCCCCTGTTCTGAAGATTTTGCCTGTCCTCTCGTACTTCTTGGTGGGAATCGCCTTTCGATACCGAGCAATTTTCTTCAACCGATGCTGAAAACGTCGACGTCGACTCTGTTGCTTCTTCCGCGTGGCTGCAGCTCGCCTTGATCTCCCACCAGCCTGATCCGTTCCAAGATACGTAGCTGCACGCTTGTTGGAAGAAGACTCAAACCCCAATTTGTCAGCAACCTTATCACCAACTCCAGATTCAGAACATACGATTGAGAGCTTGTTATTAAACTTGGCCCCCAATCTTGTCGCAGTTGTCTGGAAACTACGACCAACCTTCACCGCCATCTCGATCAACTCATCAGTAGTATCCGCTTCGATGCCTAGGCTGCTGTCGTCTATGTACGACGAAAAATGCAGCTCACTGTGCAAAGCCACGAATCTGTCGTACTCCTCCAACGCATGTACCTTGATCCCCACATCCGCATATGCATCACCCGCTGGGAAACCTCGCCGAGCGTGGACTGGTTGAAGGCAGTGGTGCCGCATCAATCGAATGATTCTTGGTGCCGACCAAGTGTTGAATAATAATTTCGTCAAACACGTGGGAGCTCCATATCTAGAAAACTTCTCCCTCACCGTAACTAAGTCAATGGTCTCATAATACTTGCTGTAGTCAGCAATGATCTGCAAGCTCTTCCCTTTGTCATGTACGCAAGCTTCGACACGAGCAGCCACCTGCCACGCAGAATCGATGGCGGAGCGGCCCGACGAGGCCCCCCCAATACACACGGCGTAGAAGTTGCTGGAGTGGTGCAAGCTCAGGTCGACGAAGCCGTTGCCATACGCGATATACCGATCCATACAAAACTATAAGTCGATGTCCTCCCATCGGCTTGGGAAGCATAGGCATGCAAATCCATAACACCTGCTTCGGTAACATTCCCAAAGATTCGAATGCTTCGAACAACATGCCGAGGATGCCGAGGCTCTCATCGCTCAAGAGCAGCAGGTGTCTAGGATGTAGTCCGTCCAGAGACCCTGCAGTTGATGAGGAAAAAGTTTGGGCGACGGCCTTGATGTCAGCAGCAGTTGCTCTCGGGAACGAACTCCTGTCTGGTATCCATGCTTTGGGCGCCTCAGAGCTAGCATCCCACAACGATCGATACTCATCTGCAGTAGTCTCGACAACTACGTGTGGATGTGCAGACGGAAGCCCGTCAGCGGTGACCACCGTCGTCTCGTTGACCTGATTATACTGCGTAATCTTGTGCAAAGCTCGTGCGCCTCCTGCTGCAGCTTGATCGCACCAATTCTGCCATCGTTTTTGAGATTCTCTCCCAGCTGCCTGCTTTGCAAACTCAACGTCCTCATCAATCTCCTCAAGGAATTCAGCAATCTGTTCTGGAAAGAATCGACCTGCTACCAAGCGTCTCGCCTGTGTCACACCTGCATCCAATCTCGAACATAGATGAACCCCAGGATACGGTGTCGTCTGAAACAGCATCAGCTCGTCGTCAAGCATCGCAGCTTTTTCCTCATCGCCATTGATGGATGCCTGCTTCAACAGACTGAGACCTTGAAGAGCATCCGAAAGCCACTTCCATCCATCCGCTTGTGCAGCAAGGCCTACCGCATCACTGCCATTGTAAGTCACATCGACCCACTTCGGCTTGATGCAGCGCGCATAAGATCCAGGACACTTGACTTCCTCACCCGTCATAATACCAATTCTCTCAGCAGCTCTGGTAATGAAACTTCCCCAAGCCAAGGTAAGAAAACCCCATGCTGCATCCGAAGGTGACTCCTTGGCCATCTGAACCGCTGTGGAAGCATACCTACGCTCCAGTGACCAATCAAAGTCCTGCTGGGCAGGCCCAAACACAGCGGTTGTGGGAAGCTTTGGGACTGCAGCATACGTCAATATCTGATGTCGATGTCCATCAGCAGCCAGTTCGATTTGCACAGGACGGTGTGGCTTGGTTTCCCACGTAGCATCAACCTTTATCTGCTTCAATAATCGATGTGCACCCACACTGAGACAAAAGAAATCAATCGTACTCGTTGATGTTGCCGTCCTGCACGTGACCGATGCTGGAGCAACAATTTGCACTTGGGCAGCCCTAGCGAAACCTGAAGACTCAAGTACCGCCTTGTCAAGATTCCAGTCACCACCGATGATACTAGGCGATGTGAGCCCAGCGAGGGACTGCCCAATGCAAGAAAGTATCCTTGAGTTGCGCACAGTCAAACCCTCAGAACAATGAAGGTACAAGTTGAAAATATGCATCTCTGGCCATCCTGGTACATCAACCACCACATGTAGCGCCCTGTGGGCGACCAGAACTCCAGAGACAATCTGACCATCAACTTGAGGACGTCGAAGACCAACTTCAGCACGTGCGAAAACAGCAACTCCCGCAGATGGGAGATGGCCCTTGGTCTCATGTCCTGGTTCAATGATAACGCTCCAGCCACGTCTGCCAGCCCAAGAGGAAATCTCCTCCGCATTGTGTGAAAAATAACCCAACTCCTGTGCCAATACGATTATGGCTGAGGTGCGTTGCAATCTGCGCTTCAAAGTCTCTCGACCTTGATTGGCATTGAACGTTTCAACTAGCCGAACCTGCTGCTGGCCAGTACGTGGTACGGGAGCAGCACGCGTCTTACCTTGAACAACAGACAATCCACTCACCAATGGACGGTTGCTAAAGGTCCTCTTGATCATCACCAACTTTGCGAACTTTCGTCTTCTGGAGTGCGTTGGCCATCTCTGCAAGCTTGGCAGGTCGTGTCTCTTCGCTCTCCTGCTGCAACTTGGTCCACACCTCTCCAGCTTCTGACTCGGACAGATCGATCTCGGGTAATGGTCGCTTCTCGCCAGCGCCTCCACCTGCAGGCCGCTCAGCAGCAGGAGTAGCCACAGGCCCAGCATCAGGCCTGCCATCCATGGGGTCGTCGACCGTCCCTGCAGGGGCAACGCTCTCGAAAATGATCTGCTGGAACTTCTCGAACTTCGGGTGTACGCTGAGGTCCTTGAAGAGCTTCTCAAGCTCGGCATCCTCAGCTCGGATGAGGTTGGAGCCAAGCTGCTTGATGAAATCCTCAGGGACTCCTGCAGCTTCAGCTCCTCTGGGACCACGCTGCTTGCGCAACTTGGCTGCAGACATTTCAACTTCCACTTCGAGTAAATCAACTTCCTTCGACTTAGCCTCGAGTGCAGCTTTTTTGCCATCCAACTCATTCTGAAGTGATGACAACCTTGCCGAAAGTTCCGATATCTCATACTCCATATTCGTCTTCTGCGACTTGCAGCGTTCAAGCTTCTGAAAGGCAGCCTTGTGTGCCGACACGGGCGGGCGCATGGCTCTGTGCTCCTCACGAAGCTGGTCCAACCTTTTCTTTGCCGCTGGCAAGTCGGGATCCTCCTCGCCCAGCTCCTTCGTCTGCTTGATAAACTGGTCGAGTACATCAATGCGCTTCTGAAGCGCAGCTCTCTTGGCGTAGTCCGTCTCGTTACCGTCGGGGTCCTTGGGCAGCGTGTCAACTCCGTCAACCTTGCCCGCAACACCCTTCTCAGCCTTGACTCTCTTAAGCTCAGCTGAAAGAAACTCCATCTGCTTCTGCATCTGCTTATACTGATCACTCCACGGTGCTGGAGACTGCGATGCACGGCGAGGCGCCGACGCAGGCTGCTGCGTCGCCTCTCTCGCAGCCTTCCTCGCACGTTGGATGAATACCGTCGGTGCATCCTGTCCGCATCTGCACTTGATTCGGCTCGCCCAATTCGCCGACGCTCCGCAGGCTGGGCACCCCCATGTGGGTTTGCGGGGGCCTGGTAGTACAGGCCCCGCCATGAGCGCCATCGGGGAGATCCTCTCGACCTCGCCCACACAACACTCGTGTTCTCCGTCTGAGCAAAAGGGGGTTGCTCCTGCAGGAGCTCACTGCCACAATGGCTCGCTGCGGCGGTGCCGTTCTGAAGTCTGCCGCAGCAAGCTCAGGACACCTGAGCCAGAACGGCTCGGGAGGCGGAGGAGGCGGAGGCGGAGGAGGAGGAGGAGAAGCAGGAGGAGAAAGAGGGGGGGGCTAGAAACCTTCCTTGTCCTCATCCTCCTCCACCTCCTCTTCCTCCTCCTCCTCCTCCTCCTCCTCCTCCTCTCCTCCTCCTCCTCCTCCTCCTCCTCCTCCTCCTCCTCCTCCTCCTCCTCCTCCTCCTCCTCCTCCTCCTCCTCCTCCTCCTCCCTCCTCCTCCTCCTCCTCCTCCTCCTCCTCCTCTCTCCTCCTCCTCCTCCTCCTCCTCTCCTCCCCCCCTCCTCCCCCTCCTCCTCCTGCTCCTCCTCCTGCTCCTCCTCTCTCCTCCTCCTCCTCCTCCTCCCCCTCCTCCTCCTCCTCCTCCTCCTCCTCCTGTTCTCCTCCTCCTCCCGGGAGGCCTCGCACGGGTTCGCCCTCGCCGACGCCCTCGAGCAGGGCATGGGGCCCGGGCTGGCCGCGAGGCGGCTCGGCCAGCGCACCTGCGGTCGCCGCCGACGTCGCCACGTCGACGACGTCGCCATCGCTGTCGACATCCTCCTCCTCCCCCTCCTCCCCTCCTTCCTCCTTCGCCTCCTGTATCTTCTCCTCCTCTTCTTCCTTCTCCTCGTCCTCCTCCTCCTTCTTCCTTCTCCTTCTTCCTCCTCCTCTTCCTCTTCTTCCTCGTCCTCATATTATTCCTCGTCCTTTCTCCTCCTTTTTCCTCCTCCTCCTCCTCCTGCTCCTGCTCCTCCTCCCCCTCCTCTCAAGTCGGGCATGTCCCTCTGCAGGGGTGTAATATTCAAAAATAGTCCAAACATAGTCTGGGGGCGAATGTTCGACTTTTTTTTGCCAATTTTTGAACATTGTGGGGTGTGTTTTGTGTCTCTTCCAAAAGCCGCCTACAGGGGGACATGCCCGACCTAACCCTCCTCCTCCTTCCTCCTCCTCTTCCCCGCGGGCCATCAAGCTCCTCCTGCTCGTCCTCGCCACTACAGCGCACCTTACTCCCCCTCCTCCTGGTGACGCTTCCGCGGCCGGCCTTGATGGACAGCTCCCCTTGAGGGAAACTCTGCACGAACGAGATGGGCACGGAAAGAATGGGTACGATGCCCAACAGCAGTTCCTGTTCATGTTGAACAGGACTCGCTGTCCGCGCCGCCGCGGCCTGTGTCCATTTGAGACAGAAGGCCGCCTGCCCAACAGCGGCAGATGTTGGTTCGGGACAACATTTGCTGTTGGGCATTGTGCCCATTGTTTCCGTGCCCATTTCGGGCGTCCAAAGAAACGGATATCTCTTGCCCCTGGACGGGCTTTCTTTCGTCCCTGGTCTTGGCCGCCTGCGTCCCCCCTTTGGGGTCAGTGCCCCTCCCTCCTCTCCGCTACAGGATGGCCAACACGCCGAAATCAAAGGAGTCTCGGTGGACTTCTCGTCTCTCTCCAATGACTACTGGGTGAGGCTGCTCATCAGCAGCTTCTCTGATTATAAGCCGCATGACGCGCACACGAGCAATTGAGAGGAGCTGGCGTGAGCGGCTCTACTCTCGCGCCATGCTCTTCCAGACGTTTGCCAGCATAGCGGCAACTTCTGACAAAGGCGTATATCTTTGTACAAATGCATCGAGCAGGGGATCGACTACAGAACTGATTTACTCCAGCATGTATTCTTTTCCGTATAATCCATCAACATACGTAGAATTCTCGCAGATCTACGAACCCTGGACGTTTTTGTTGTAGATTCGACGAACATCCCAATTCTGGTGCAGATGAATGCCGTAATCGATCCCCTTCTCGAATGCATGCAGAGCGTGAGTGACGAAGCCCTCCTCTCTCGCTGCTGCTGAAGAACATTCGACGTTTTTTGTAGATCCGCCGAACGTTTCAAGTCTGGGGCAAATCAATGGCGTAGTCGATCGTAGTCGATCCCCTACTCGAACTTAGTGGACCCTGGAAACGACAGGGCCGTTTTGATTCCGGTTCCATTTTACAGTTTTGTTGCCTGTTCCTTCAACTTGTTTTGCCCGCTCCCTTGCCGTGGTCTTTCCAGGTCTGGTTCCGGCTTCAATCCTGGAGCCGTTTTCTTGCCGTTTCTGGTTGCTTTTTTCAACCGCTTCCACTCTCAAGAAACACTTTTTGTTGGAAGCGGTGAACAAACGGCCCTGCTGATTCCGGGGTCCACCGATGTCGACCCCCTGCCCTACTCGAACGCATGCACAGCGTGAGTGCCAACGCCTTCCTCTCCCCCTCCTGCTGGTGAGCACTTCAAGTTTCTGTTGCAGACCCGGCGAGCATTCCAATTCTGGGGCAGATCACTGGCGTAGTCGATCCCGTACTAGTCTTCACCGTTTCCGAACAAGTGTTTCTGGAACGTGGAAACGGCAGCAAAAAGGATACCGGAAACGACAGAAAACGGCAAAAAACGGCGACTGGAAACGACAGAGAATGGAAACGGCAAAAAACGGCGACCAGAAACATAAAAAAACGTAAACGGTGAAAAAAATTGCGGCCGGAAACGGAAACAAAAACGGTTCCGGGATTGGAGCCGGAAACAGATTTGGAAAGAAAACTTCGAAGGCACCTGCAAAAAAGCGGCGACGGAACCGGCAACAACAATGGCAAGATGGAACCAGTGAAAAGACGGCCTTGTCGTCTCCAGGGCCCGCTAAGATGCACAGCGTGAGTGCGAAAACCCGTCTCTCCCCCTCCTGCTGGTGAATACTTTACGCATTGGCTGTAGATCCGACAGGCATGGTATATTCCACGAGTATTTCAATGTTGGGGCATATCAGTGGCGTAGTCGATCCCCTACTTGAGTGCATGCACAGCGCGGGTGCGAAAATAGTAATGGCATGGATAGAAGCCGCATTCGTATTACTGCGCGTAGCTCTTGTTGTGGTCCTAGTTGTACACAGGGTTGTAGTCGTTGTATTCGAGTTGTGGATCGTGTAGTAGTCGTTGTAGCGTTAGTTGCTGCAGCCGTTGTAATGTTTTTAGTCGTTGTAGTAGTTGTGCGAGTTGTAGTCGTTGCAGTCTTGCTCTGTGTAGTTGTAGTGATACTCGTCGCTCATGTAGTGGTTGTACCACTAGTCAGGAACACTGTCAGGAACACTAGCAGCATAGAGGGAAGGATGGGGTTTGGGAGAGAGGAGAAGGCCAGAAAGAATAATGAGTGGGTTCTATTCAATTTTTGGGTGGCCTCTCGTGTTCTATCCTATTCGAGAGAGTGTGTGTGTGTGTGTGTGTTCGAGAGTGTTCGGCGGAGATCCAGGAAGCCTTTGGAGGTTCAGGCGGAGGAGAGGGAGGAGTGGAGGGAGGGGGCGGAGCAGGCGAGGGCCAGCGAGGGTCGAGGGCCCCTGCGAGCAGAGGCACATCGAGCCGACGATCGACAACCCGTCCATCGAGGAACGCCTCCTCGTGAAGGCGGGCCCCCGTGCGTCCGGACGGGGGGGCGGGAGGAGAAGGAGGAGGGCGGCACGTGCAAGCACGTCGGCTGATTCGCGCTCCTCCTCCTCCTCCTCCTCCTCGTCCTCCTCCTCGTCCTGCTCGTCGTCCTCCTCCTCGTCCTCCTCGTCCTCCTCCTCCTCCTCGTCCTCCTCCTCCTCGTCCTCCTCGTCCTCCTCCTCCTCCTCGTCCTCCTCGTCCTCCTCGTCCTCCTCGTCCTCCTCGTCCTCCTCGTCCTCGTCCTCGTCCACGTCTGGGGATCTGCCCTGGTCAGGGCCGTCCCTGATGTCAGCGTCGGACATGTAGCCGGGGCGCGTTGCGATATGCAATATTCGTCGAGCCAGACGGGCCCAAACAACTTTCAGTACAGAGCTGATTGGCGTAATTGTTTGTGGGCCTCCGATGGGCTCGAGCAGACTGGAATCAGCGCTACTTCTTGTCAGCCACGTTGGCATACAGCGGCGTGCGTACCAGCGGAGGCCGCTCCATATCTTAGATGATAGATAACTGCCACCTGTCGTACCAACAGACATGTCGTTGCGGCAGGCCGGGCGTTTCGCCTGAGAGCCCCTCAAAGCCCATGTAATATAAACTGAAGCTTTCCAAGATTCGCACGGGTAGAGCAGAGGTGGTTTCTAAGATGGTGCGCTCGTTTTCGCACCGCGCACGCTCGTCTGATTGACAGCTGCTCGCTTCAAACACCGGGCTGAAGTTGGATGACCCGGAGGTCTGATACAACAGTTACTTTGGTGGAGGGCGGCTGTTTTGTTCGTGGGGCTCTTATTTGCTCAAAGCATTTCAGCCCAATGGGGGAGCAGGAGCAGTGCCGTGATCTTCATCTCCCTCCTCCTCGTCTCCCCTCGGCGCCCCGTGGTCGGCATCCGCGTCGGCGTTGACTGCCGTCCTCGCCGCTCTTCCCTGAGATCCGATGCCACGAACACATACGACATCGCGAAAGATCTTGACCAGAGCACTAGACCATATCTTTCTGCGGCCGCATGTGCAGGAAAGCCTTGCTACGTGGCCGCGGCCACGCCCGTTTTGGTTCATCTGCGCTGGCCACGGTCTCGCGTGCTGGCTCGCCTATTGCAGGTTGACCTTCAGGTGATTCAAAGCTTGCCTAGTGCATGTGGTCGGGCACCAGCGGTGTGTTTGCGGGAAGAGAAATCTTTCTGCGGCAGTCTCTCGAGCCGGCTCGATCTGTGTCCCGAAGCTGGGCTCATACGCCCGTTGGGAACAAATCGCAGCGCCCGGATCTCAGGGCTCGTCCTCGGCTCCCTCGTCGCCTTTGGCGCCCCTGAGTCGGCGCCCTCGTCGCTGACCTCCAGCGACGAAGACGACGACGGCGACAATGACGACGGCGACGGAGACGGCGACGACGCCGACGACGACGACGCCAATTTTGTCGCCCCCGGCCGTGCCGTCCTCGTCGTCCAGGGCGACGATGACGTCGAGGGCGGCGACGACGCGACGACGAGGACGAGGGCCGCCACGCTCCCGCGGCGAGGCGGGGAAGGACGACGGGAGCTTCACGCTGACCACGGGCCACGGGGAGCCGCTGCTCTGCGCGCGCCCACGCCGCGGCCCCGGCCTTTTCCCCCGCGCCGGCGCCGTGCGTCGGCCCGCCGGGCGGCGCGCGACGGCGGCGCCAACGACGGCGTGGGCGACGAAAGCGCCCCAGAAGACGAGGACGACGCAGACGACGGCGACGTCGACGTCGACGACGACGACGACGACGACGATGACGACGAGGGCGACGTCGCCGACGACGACGACGACGCCAACTTCGTCGCCCCCGGCCGCGTCGTCCTCGTCGTCCAGGGCGACTTCGTCGTCGACGCCGACGGCGATGTCTTTGCTGGCCGCCGCACCCTGACGCTTAGACTGGGTAGTCGAAGGCCAGACTGTCAGATTGGATTGGGCCCCAAGGGCCAATCTGGTCCGGCCAAACTGGATGATTTGGGTTATTCGCCAGACTGGATTCGCGTTGGCTCCCTCGCCAGATTGCTCCCGTTTGCCAGATTGGGCCTGCCAGATTGGCGCCAGATTGGCTTCGACTACCCAGCCTGACGCTCAGAGGAGGGAGCAGTACCGAGACTGCTACCCTTCCGTCGTCTCCGCCTTCCTGGCCTCCTCGGGAGCCCTCGTCGCCACGGCCGGATCCGCCTCGGAGTGCTGGCCCGCACGCGCCCAGGCAGAGCTCCCGGGTTGCAGCGGTGTTGGTACCTCGCTCCCTCCCGAGACCTTCCCAGACATGCTCCGATACTGAAGGGCCCCTTTTCCATCATCACCACCAGAAGTTGGAGGGGGGAGGGAGGTGGAGGAAGACGAGGAGGAGGAGGAGGAGGAGGAGGAGGAGGAGGAGGAGGAGGAGGAGGAGGAGGAGGAGGAGGAGGGGGGGGGAAGGAGGAGGAGGAGGAGGAGGAGGGGGGAAGGAGGTGGAGGAGGAGGAGGAGGAGGAGGAGGAGGAGGTCCCCTTGCCCCATCCTACTCATGGTGGTGGCGGTGGAAGGCGAGCCCACCAGATGTGCCGCTTCTCCGTCCGCGGCCCCAGAGGTCCCGACCCTTTCGTGGGTTATGATGGTCCAACCTACTATCACCAGATAGAATTTCGAGCACCAAGAAAATGCCGACACTCGAGGGTTTTCACGTGTCGGTCCCTGGGAGACCATTGTTCAACACTGTTTCGACACCTTTTCTGGGTGCTCGGAATGATTTCTGGGATGTGGCTGTGCAGTACGATGGGAGCAGCCTCATTCCTGGGGTGTTTGGGAGGGTCCAAGGGGGCCCAGACGCGGGCCCAGAAGAGGCCGAGATCGAGAAAAGTCGCCCGGATGGAACACGGCGGCGGCGTCCCGCAATGTCCAAGCTTCGAACTTCGAGGTTCTCGTTTTTCGGGCGTAGTCGGGCGGTTTCGGGCGCTTTTGTCGTTTCTTGGCGATTTTACGCCCTCGGGATGCGTTCCAGCGGCTGCGTCTCGCCGAGAGCATTCCAGGGGTGCCAGGATCGTCCCGAACGACCACCGGAGAGCCGAGTGACGACCCAAAAACCAAATGCAGTGGCACGCCCAGGGGGGAAGTGAGAAGGAGAAGGTCTTCTCAAAAGCTTCTGACGCCCCCTGGCCTTCTGAGAAGTGTACCTAGCCTCCCCCGAAGACAAACAAACTTCTCAGAAAGCCAGCGAGGGCTTCTGAGAAGTCCCGCCGCCTTCTGGGAAGGCCTGCTTCTTCTCACTTCCCTCCCGGGCGCGCCACTGCATTTGGTTTTTTGGGTCAGATACCTCGGCTCTCCGGTGGCCGTTCGGGGCGATCTGGGCACCCCTGGAATGCTCTCGGCGAGACGCAGCCGCTGGAACGCATCCCGAGGACGGAAGTGCGCCAAGAATCGACGTGAGCGCCCGAGAACGCCCGAAAGCCCAGAGCCTCGAAGGTCCAACCTTGGGATCGCGCGGCCCGCCGCCGCCCGATATCGCATGCTCGGGGGTCTGGGCCTCTCGCGTCGGGGGCCAAGATCGCGGCGAGGGGGTTCTGGGGGCGCTCCCGGCCTCGGAGGGGCCCCCTCGGGCACCCAGAGGCCGTGCCTCAGGGGAGGGCAAACCACTCAGGCCCCGACAGTCCATGGGCATCGACTGAGCTCTAGGCTGCACCCGGGCCTGTTCCTCTACAGGAAGAATCTTCCCAAATTGGGGAGGATTTTTTTGATTGTTTTTGACCACTTCGGGAAATGTTTACACGTAGCACCCAGCAATTGCGGATAAGAGTGAGGGGGCGGGCGCGGGCGACGCGGGCGTCGAGTCGGCGGACGCCCTCACCTTCCTTGTCGATGGCGCCCTCCTCCTCCTCCTCCTCCTCTTCCTCCTCCTCTTCCCCCTCCTCCTCTTTCTCCACATCCTCCTTACATCCTCTCTTCTTCCGCGTCCTCCGGGGGGGATCGCTTGTGGGCCACCCGGAACGAATTCAAAAACAGCCCGCCGCAGGCGCCGAAATTTGGCTTGTTCAATGAACGTAGTTTGGGTCGCGGGTGGGTCGCGGGCTCTCCACCTCCATTTGGAAGAAATTCAAAAACAGCCTGCCGTAGGCGCCTAACACTTTGATTTGTACACTGAACGCGGTTTGGGTCGCAGGTTCTCCACCTGGAACGAAAGCAAAAGAAACCCGCCGCAGGCGCCGAAGTTTTGGCTTGTTCAGTGAACGTAGTTTGGGTCGCGGGTGGGTCGCGGGCTCTCCACCTCCACCTGTTCCTTCAAGAACAGCTCGCCGCAGGCGCCGAAAATTTTTGGTGGGCCGCGGGGTGGGTCGCGGGTGGGTCGCGGGTGGGTCGCGGTGGGTCGCGGGTGGGTCGCGGGCGCGGTTTGGGTCGCAGGTGGGTCGCAGGTTCTCCAGTCGGAACGAATGCAAAAGCAGCCCGCCGCAGGCGCCGAAAATTTTGGGTGGGTCGCGGGTTGGGTCGCGGGTGGGTCGCGGGTGGGTCGCGGTGTGTCGCGGGTGGGTCGCGGGTTGGTCGCGGGGGGTTTGCGGGGTGGGTCGCGGGTGGGTCGCGGGTGGGTCGCGGGGTGGGTCGCGGGTGGGTCGCCGGGGCATTAGAGTCCCCCACAGGTCCCCGGACACGTCCGCCGGACACCCCGGACACCCCGGACACCCCGGACACCCCGGACACGTCCCCCGGACACTCCGGACACCCCGGACACGTCTCCCGGACACGTCCCCCGGACACGTCCCCCGGACACGTCCGCCGGACACCCCGGACACCTCGGACACGTCCCCCGGACATCCCGGACACGTCTCCTGGACACCCCGGACATCCCGGACACGTCCCCCCGGACACCCCGGACACCCCGGACACGTCCCCCGGACACCCCGGACAACCCGGACACCTCAGACACTTTCGTCGTCGTCGTCGTCCTCCTCCTCCTCCTCCTCCGCCTCCTCCTCCTCCAGCCGCCGCCACGGCTGAAGGGCGAGGGACACGCGGCCCTCCCACCCCGTTCCATCGCCCGCCAGGGGAGCAGCGCGCGATGCCCACGCGCCCGCGGGGCCCAAGAGGCCCATGATGGCGGCTCTCCTCCTGCTGGCGGCCGTCGGCGTCCCGCCGCAGGCGGCCGCCTTCATGTCGACAGGCGCTTTCCGCGCCCCTGGACGCACTCAGGAGCGAGAGCCTCAACCTGTTCAGCACACCAGGCTCTGCACGTACAACCCCATGTACCTGACGGGCTGCACCCGCGCGCAGGAGATCTCGAGCGAGCTCAACAACATGGGCGTGATCCTCCTCCCTGGGACTAGCCGCCGCCAGGCACAGGACAGCCGCCACAGCCTCTTCAAGCATGACTACCACTGGGAGCTCTCCTTCGGCTGGACTCGGGCCACCAACAAGAGCTGCGGGGTCAGCATCTTCCTACATCACAAGCGGTTCCCGCAGGCACACCTACGTCGGATTTGCCCTCCGCCTGCGGCGCTTGCGGGCCGATGCGGCGCTCTGCGCTTGAAGAGCCGCTCCTCGGACGTGCTCCTCATGGTTCTGTACTTTCCCGTGCCGTCCGAGTCCCGCTCCAGCCGCAACTCATACCGCCAGGTGACCCAGGCGATGATTTCATGGGCACGCACCACGCTGGAGTCGGTGGGCAGTCGCTGCACGCCTTTCATCGGGGCGGACCTCAACGACAAGCTCGGCTACTCCGTGGACGAGACGTTTCTCGGCTCCCCGACCCCGCGCTTGCTCGAGCCCGACTCGTGGAGCGAGATCGACAGCGCCGTGGGCCCCTTCCAGGAGCAGGAGGGCCTCGCAGGACGTCTCTGGCACCAGTTCCTCACGGACCACGGCGTGGCCGCGCTGAACACCTTCTTTGACAGCGGGGACACCTTCTTCGGGGCACACGGACGGTCTAGCAGGATCGACTTCCTCCACGCCCCATCCGCCCTGGTGTCTCACACACGCCAGTGCAATGTCCTGATGGGGGCAGGCCGCCGCCTCCAGCCCATCAACACATTGGACGATCGAGACCACCGCCCTGTCTATGCGGACGTATTCTATACCTTCGAGGCCCACGCGCAGCCCAAGCACACCTGGGACTACGACACGATCATGCTTCGTCTTCGCGGACAGCACACCACCGCCGCGGACCTCGAGACCATCCACCAAGCAGTGCTGGACATCGACGAACCGACCTGGCAGTACCTCTGCACCAGACCCACGACGGACGAGCTATGGAACTCCGTCGCCTCGCTGATGGTCGACCGCGCGAAGGAGATCTTCACCCGACCGACTCCCGCACAGGCCGAAAAGACCGTCCTCGAACGGCAACGTTCCGAAGCTCTTCGCACTCGACGCGACCTCCGCGCTCGCTTCACAGGATCCGACCACTCGCACAACACGGAACTCATCGAGACGGAGCTCCTCTTGGCGCGCCTGACCTACCGCATGCACGCCCTCTCCTACCGCATCACCACCGAGCGGAACGCCTGCCTCACGGAGGAGCTCAACCAAGCATGGTCGCAGCACGACCACTACAACGTCCAGCGCCTCATCCGACGCTTATCTCGTCGCGGCCGTGGCCCGCGCCACAGACGCTACTTCACCGCGAG